AGGGTTTCCAAACGCACAGTTTTAGGTTGAATCTTCATTGCTTGTCCTCAGAACTCGCTCTGCTGTTCTTATGGAAAATCAGCTGTAGTGCTTTAAAGGTAAATTCTAAATACAAAATAAAAACTATACAAGGGCATCCTCAGATGATGACAAATAAGTTAAATAAATAAGTTACATCATGAGGGCTTTACGTGCCACAGTAAAGGTACGTCGCACTTTCTAATCAGATGGGGAGAGATTAACTTAAATAATTTAAATGTTGATATTAAACAATTACAATCAATTAAAAGAAGAAATAAAAACTAGACTCCTGTTTTGTGTAACGAGTTATTCTCCCTCCCCCCCCCCCAAGTCTGTCAACAGACCCTGGCTGCTCCATGAAGCCAGTCTGGCTTGTAAGCGTATTTACTAACACAGGCTTCGCATCTCTGATGCGCTACGACAGCAAAATGGATAAATAAGCAAAATTAACCCCAAATTCATTCATAAATCATTGAATTAAATAGTTACAAAACCCGAACATTGGAGCCTGATCCCGCAGTCTGTATTCAGGCAAAACTCCCACTGAATTTTAAAGCTTAAAAGGAAACTCAATGTGACTTAGGCTGAACAGAGATTTCAGGACCTACTCTAAGACTAAATTAAATAAATTACGTTCTTGATAGATAATATATTGGGTGAAAACCCACAAGTGTCAGGAAAAAAAAATAAAACCATTATTAAGCTTTGCCTTTTTAAAAAATTTAAACAATAAAAATTCCCCTTAATAAATATAAAGGAGGCCAAGTAGAAAGTTTCCCCGTATCTCAAAACTACTTTGGTGTGGTGACAAGCAAGGAAAACGTTGGGTTTTGTCCGAGGCTAGCCCACCCTTTGCAATACCAGGCCGTTACCGTGTCCTGCTTCGGAAGAGGAGACCCCTACTCCCGCACGCAGCTCTGAGCGTAGTTTGCTGGTTTAGTCCTTCTCAGGTCTTTGGATTCAGCTTTAGGTAAGAGAGATCCAGAATAAAGCTATTCAACCGAAGTCATCACGCACATTCTTTGTTCCTTCACGGATGATTAAACAATATCCAAGGTGTCTTGAAAGTTGAATTCATCTTGGCTGTGCCCATGGTAGTAACTCCAAGCACGCGGCAGGGAAGATGCTGGGATACTACTGTACAGACCAGTCTTTCGTACCAGAATAAATAAAAGGAACAAGTTACATTACACGGCTCTAGAGATTCATAAATATACGGCATATAAATGGAACGCATCTATTTGAGTTTTTTTTTTCAGTATGGGCAGAATATAGCATCTGTTCTGCTCCCACACATACGTACAAATGTATCTACCCACAGCAGATGCTATCGACGCTCCTCTTCTGAGATGCTCTTCTGCTACATAAAAGCCTACGAGGGTCGACAGTGAAATGGAAGACGTAACACAGGGCCGTGAAAGATGCAGGGATAAAAAATGCAGCCGTATTTTCAGACGTTGAGATGAGAATGACTTTTGTGAAAGGTGGAGGAAACACGGGCGTCGATAGGTTTGCAATCCCCAGCACAGAGAAGCCTCGTGCGTTTTGACAAACAAATGAGGCAGTGCGAGCAGCAGCATCGGCCTCGGCACTAGTCGGGCCGTGCAATTAAATTGTCCCCAGCGTGAGGTTGCCGATCAACATTTGAAAGATCGAGGCACGAGCTTAAGCCATAATATTGCATAACAAGAACTTCCGCAATTCGGAGAGAATTAACGATTTCACGGAATATATGTATTTTTATAATTCAGTAGTTGATCTGGACTTGCTTTGCCACGGCTGTTGGGATGAACCCTGAAGAGAAATGAAAAGCCCAGCTCTTTGCCCACGGACCTTGCGAGAAGCCCAGGGCAGGCTCACTGCTGCCTCTCAGGACGGCGGCAGCGGGAGGCAAACCCACCGGCCCGCGGGCGGCCCCGACGCGGAAAAGAAAGGGGGGGCAGGGGACGGCAGGCTGGGTTTCACCGCTGGTGCGGCGGCTCCTGCTGTGGCTGGAGGGCACTATGGAATGGAGCATGAGGGAAGCGACCAAGCCCCGCGCTGCCCGACGCTGCGGCCGATTGCGGGAGGACGCTTCCAGAATGAGGCATTTCCCATGAGGGCAATGCCACCTTCAAAATGCAGATGGAGAGGCTGGTTTGAGCGGGCCCTCTTGGATGGGAATGACAGTGAAACTTCAGCGTTGACCAACCCGCCCTGCTCCACAGCGTGCCGACCCAGAACTTCTCACCCAAATACCCAGAGGTGTCAGTATGCATCAGCCCAGACCTGAACCGTTTTTTGGGCAGCTTTATCCCACGTCTGACTACGAGGCTTCTTTGGAGCGGTTTCAAGTCACACACTACCTGTCTGGAGATCCACGCTGAAGGACGTTCTGATGCCCAGCGCTGGTACATGCTGTCAGTTCAGCACACATGCTGGTATGTGCTGTCGGTTTAGAGGATCCTGAATTTACCTCTCAGAAACCTTTCCTGTCCTGAGCAGGCAAGGCTTTTTGATTTTCTTTCTTTAACTGTAACCACTGGAAAACGACTGCAGCAGTTTTGCAAGGCAGTTGAAAAGAAGCCCTCGTTTAGAGGTTCAAATGGAGCAAAATGGTGCGATTGTGCTCCAGCTCTGAAGATGAATTTGGACCTAGGCCTGCGTGTCATGATTTGGATCAGCATGACTTGGATCAACCAATGTAACACGTCTAACATGTCCAAAGGAGCTACTGAGCTGCCACGTGAGCTGCTGAAACCCCCATTTCGGTTCAGATCGGGATCTGATCTCAGTGAGCCAGGCTGCGGCGGCGCTCAGCACTTACAATGACATAAATCGGTACATATATAGAGAGAGATATATTGCAAGTTTTATCCCTGGGGAAGAGAAAGAAGGGTGTAGGTTACTCAACCGATTTCACGTACAGAAGGATGGCCGTTCAAAGCCCTAGACATACAGGAGACCAACTCTACCCGACAAGACAAGTCATACCCAGCGGACAGGTTTTTCCTACGTGGCTCTGGAGAGAGGAGACGTACCAGCGTAGTATCTCAACATCTTGCACTTGGAGTCCATGCAGCTCTCGGAGAGATCCCGCGTGGGGCAGAAAGAGGAAAAGCGTAAGTAAACCCACCCTTTCGGTTGCTCAAAGAAACAGAAGTGGTTACCTGTACACAGCTCAACGGTGCTATACGCATTCGGTCGTGCAAGAGGGGACAACGAACTGAAACAAAAGTAGTGAGAATCCTCATCTTTGGTATTGTAGCTGTTGAGGTTTTGGTTGCTCTGTTCCTTGTTCTTTTGAAAAAACTGCATAGGCACAAATTAAAGACAATCTTCAACTTTAAGATGACTGAGTTGTCAAATGAAGCAGCAATCGTACTGGCTTTGCTTTGTTCCCATCCTCGTCAACCCTTTCTTGGAGATCTGCTTCCTAAAATGTCCCAGATGTCTGTCGAAACACAGTGTGTTACTCGTTTGCTTCCTGACGTGCTTCCTTGTTTTTTTTTATTTTTCTTTTATTTTTTTAAATGGAACAGTTTGTTGCAGAAGAAGTAGGTGCAGAAAACGTTTCTTTGGTTTCGATTAAGTAGTACATAAAAAAAGTCTCAAGTGTCTCTAAAGAACCACGACGGCGCTTGGCTTGCTGCCGGGGACTGGGCCGGCGCTGCAGGAGGGGCCGTTCACTGGTAAGTGCGCACATCGGGC